TTCAATGACAACGCAACATTTCCCAATGATCTAACATCAACAATGTGTGATTTATATGATTTATGACTCGATATGAATCGTTTTGATCAAGTAATTATGTGGCAAACTTACTTCCGCAAATTTCGTCATTTCCAAAAATAGTAGGCTGAATATTGCAAAATGTGAGTACCTGGCTTTGACAATCAATATATTTACCAACTACGTCATGCAGTGACCACAATTCCAAGATGGAAATGTTGCTTATGTTTATATAAATATCTGAAATGTTCAGGATATAGGCACATGAACTGAACATATTATAAGGAAATTACTGTTTTTCAATAAGGTGATGTGCATTATATATAAGAACAAAGCATATTCATGGATGCTCATGCTCCGACCCATATATAGATCAAGGACTTCCCTTATCAAAGACTATTTGTATACAATGCTGTCAAAGCGATTAAAAACACAAGGAATTAAAAAATTCTTCTGTGTTTAAGGTGTTGGAGTTTCAGTTAAAGAACACAGTAAATAAGTCAGGATAAGTTAACCATATTCGTTCTTTAATTTACTCAAAACAGATTTAGGATTATAACCTGGTAACCATCAATGTTCAAAATCATTTGAAATGTTTTTCCAGCCCCAACGATCTGCCAGCAGCTGCCACATACCCTATTCAGTGGTATGTTGTATACTGATCTCCACCTCAGATGTTCCTTATGTAAGGTACTGCAATGCACTTTGGGAGAGATTAGCTGTTCAACTATGGCAACTGGTGACTAAACAAAACTATATCTGAGTGTGTGACACACCAAATTTCCTTCATGTGAGAACAAAAATGTCTGGACTGTTCTGAGAATATTACTATAAATAAATTCAATTCTCGACTGATGAGTATAATTAACATTACTGAAATCTGTTCCTCAACATTTCCATGTGACTTTTCCAAACTATCAGAATCCAGATTATTGCAGGTCCATTTTTATGACCTATATATCTAGTTAAAGATCATATGTTGTTTGTTATTTACAAAGCAGAAGCAAGAGGCACAAAGGACATGTTCCATGCTCTTAATTTCTGTTGGAGGAGAAATAGGTGGTTTGACCTTGTGTGAGAAATATTGACTAGCTTTTATTCTGTTAACAATTTGTTCATGTAGGACAGTGTTAACAAAGTCAGTTTTCATTCATGCGATGAAAACCATCATGTAATCAAATTCACAAGAAACACAGTATCCTAAGAAAACTATCTGTCAGCAAAGATTTGACAGCAATTGTAAATAAGAGGATTATATTCTATTGAAATCCTAAAGAACAGGACTAAACGAAATACCTCACAGCTTTATAAATTCAATAAAATGCGTGTCCCGCATTATCATACCAGTATGTTTAGATTGCCAACTTTATAAACCTTTAACAACATGGTGTTATAGCATCTTTACATTCTCTTCTGTCTGTACCTATAAAATTTCCTATTGCAGTTCCTTACATAGTTTGCAACTCTGCCAACTCTTTACATTTAATAAATTCTTTCAATAAATATTTTAGTTTCAATGTCTTTTGTTAAATCTGGTCAATAAAAAGGACAAATATCTACAGGAATTCTGTATTATTACCTTGGTATGGTCGCCTGTGTTAATACAGACTACTATCTGTATATATCTTATATATCTGACAATCCTTTGAATACATCTTGACTGTCATGTGGTCATACCTGAAAATCTCCAGTCTAATAATGGTCAGTCACAAACTGGAAATATCCACTTTAATAGCTTGTTACAAACTTGATCTCTCAAACTGGAGATCTAATACTGGCCTCCTATTTAATTGCCTGTCACAAACTGAGTCTCTCGTTTAATGACTTATTTAATTGCCTGTCACAAACTAGAGATCTCTAGTTTAATGACCTATTTTATTGCCTGTCACAAACTGAGTCTCTCGTTTAATGGCATAAGTCTGTCACAAACTGGAGATCTCCAGTTTAATGGCCTATTTAATTGCCGGTCACAAACTGGAGATCTCTAGTTTAATGGCCTATTTAATTGCCTGTCACAAACTGGAGATCTCTAGTTTAATGACCTATTTTATTGCCTGTCACAAACTGGAGATCTCTAGTTTAATTACCTATTTTATTGCCTGTCACAAACTGAGTCTCTCGTTTAATGGCATAAGTCTGTCACAAACTGGAGATCTCCAGTTTAATGGCCTATTTAAAGTCTGTCACAAACTGGAGATCTCCAGTTTAATGGCCTATTTAAAGTCTGTCACAAACTGGAGATCTCCAGTTTAATGGCCTATTTAATTGCCTGTCACAAACTGGAGATCTCTAGTTTAATGACCTATTTTATTGCCTGTCACAAACTGGAGATCTCTAGTTTAATTACCTATTTAATTGCCTGTCACAAACTGGAGATCTTAGGTAATGTCACTTAAATCCTATAAAATTTGCGTTTATAACACCACACAAACTTTGGTGCCATTATATATATCATATCAATGTAAGAATAATGAAAAGAAACAGACCTCAATTTAAAACAACTCCAATTTGGGAATGAAAGCTCACATTTTAGATTGTCAAATTTACTCGAATAAACTTGAATCATAAGTCTAACACTGGAGACAGACAAGCATGATTTGTATCTTAAAATATATATCTATAATGTAAAGACAACACTGATTAGTTTGCACCAGATTTATCACTTGTCATTCAGATGTGATCATCAGATCAGATGAATATTAGTTACAGCATGATGAAAATTAGGCTTTGATTAGTAATGCTATACTCTGAACTCTCTTATCTAGGTGGAATTAATACCAGACATGGCTTATTGTTAGACATCAACTTATTACCAGACATGGCTTATTGTTAGACATCAACTTATTACTAGACACTGCTTATTGTTAGATATGAGCTTATTACCAGACATGACTTGTTGTTAGACATGGGCTTATTAACAGACACAGCTTATTGTTAGACATGGGCTTATTACCAGACATGGCTTATTATTAGTCTTGGGACTTATTACCAGGCATGGACTTATTACCAGGCATGAGCTTACTGCCAGATAAAAGAGACACATTGTATATACATATTAAAGGCTTCTTATAGGCTAAAATTTTGACTCCTTATTAAAATTTACAAAAAATTAATACATTTTTTAAAATGGACATGTTAAAATCAAACCTGATTGTCACAAAACACAACAAATAGATCTGTAAATTAGGAAAATACCAATTTTCTGCTAAGCATGAGCAAAAACCTTGTAAATATCTTTTAATCACAGCCATTATACCCAATGCCAGCTCGACCAATCTGATACATCAATACTAAGAATAATCAAACATTGATCAGAACTGGTTTTTGATGTTAGTAACCCACCTATTGAAGTTATATTTTCAAAACAGAGAGGCAGCTGGTGTATCCTCAATACAATATCAGGTAATGATAGACATCAAGCATACAGGTGTTAATTAACTGTTAATTACAACTTTACACATCCAAGACAGGTGTAATGCTAAAACTATTTGTATTATGAATGTTAACTTGTGTAGACAGTTACAATGCAAAGGACTTTTCTTTATCTGAATGGTTTTTAACTTTTGAAGTGAGATAAAAAAAAAATGTATTTATCAAAAGAAAAATATATTGATCACATAAGCCCAGAAGGCCTATTGATAAATTCTGGCTCAAAGTCATGGGGTGGGGCTATTACAGCACAATGAAATAGCATAACGTTGGTAATCGTACTGAAAAGCAGGCTTATCACTGAATATATATGATTATAAATAAAACCAGTTGATAAAATACATAATTATAAGAGACATCACATTTTTTGAGGCTGATAGGTTCACATGCTGACAGTTCTTGAACCGAATATAGACCTATACCATCCCAGTTTGTTGTCAGCTTTTGTAAGCAACAGTATAAATAGTTTTGTGAAACTTAACTGCAATTAAATGCAATATCTGTGCACAAATACATAATTCAAGCATTGAATAAGAAGTACAAAGAATCTGGTCATCATATGTAATCCATTCAACAATTTGGAGTTTTTATGTATGTTTTGTCAAATAATGAGCACTCCAGCCATGAAACACAAAACCTGACATAAAGGAGTCCACAATTTTGAGTGATTTTTGATGTCAGAGTAATGGGCCATTTGTACCATTTAATAAGTCTTCTGATGGACAGTGGCTCTTTCCTAAGGACATCAGGGCCCGTATTCATGAAACCATTCTCATGCTCAAGCATAGATTTTGTGCTCAAGCAAACTTTTTTATAATTCGCCTAAATCATATAAAATAATACAAATGTCAAATATAGATATGGAATATAACTTTGAATTGAAGTCCCTTCAATTTTTTATTCTAAATCTTTGGCAAAATCAGCCTTATTTATTAATTTTTAACTTAAACAAGACATAAGGCTTGAGCATTAAAGTCATTCTTGAGCATGAGAACGGTTTCATGAATACAGGCCCTGGTATAGCTGGAAAATCTTCAATAAAACTACGCTGAATTTCTGTCAATAATTAAGAGTAGGCAATTGACGCAGATCATCTTATCAACACACATCAGGTGCATACACTGGATTGTGGCTTATTTAAAGAGACACTCTAACACCTACTTCTTCATGTACTTCAATTCAAAAGAGCTCAGATTTAGGTAAACATGGTATGAAATCAAAATAGACAACTTTCCAAACTTCTTATATGATAAATTGATGGACATTTGTGTCTAGAAATAATAACAATCTGATGCTAAATATTCATTGTGTCAATAACATCTAAACAATATTTCATATAGTTTGCTATCAATAGCATCAATTAGAAATCATTATCAAAGAAATAAATGTAATTTATATCCGAATAAAGACTCTTTGTGTGTGTAATATCCTTTAATGGATTCAAAGTGACGGCTACCTTACTGAGCAACTTGCAGGAGGCCCATTGCATGCTGATCAGCCAGTCCAAATGAGATAAATTGTCCTGCAAAAGGACACAACCACAAGAGCAAAGGATGATTCTAAATATTGGCTTTCCTGAGAAACACAATCTTCCTCAGGTAAAGTAAAAAACACTAAATTTCTGAGACCTAAACTGTAAAAAGTTTTACATGTGTTAGGAAAAATATTAAGAAATGTACATACCCTGAGGTCCAATCTGATGTACTTGATCAAGAGAAGAGGTCAGTCATAACAGCTAAATACCATCTCCTGGACAAGTTACATGGTGGAGGTAGAACATCAGCCCTACACAGAAAACATATGATACCGACTTAAACTACCAGTCATAACAATACAATTTACCTGCAACATGTGGTCATATACACAGGACCATACATCAGAATTTACTCACCAGGGACTTCATATTGACTAAATCAAATCGGAAGACATTTACATATTATATCATACAGTTGCATTATTCTCATACATTGTTTGCTAGGTTAATCGCCCTGTCAACAGCAAGTTTGAGGCAGGTCTCCTTGTAGTAGCTATGGCTACCAGACTGAACAACATATGGAAGGCATGCCATTATAAGTTTGAGGCAGGTCTCCTTGTAGTAGCTGTGGCTACCAGACCTACCAGACTGAACAACATATGGGAGGCATGCCATTATAAGTTTGAGGCAGGGTCTCCTTGTAGTAGCTGTGGCTACCAGACTGAACAACATATGGGAGGCATGCCATTATAAGTTTGAGGCAGGTCTCCTTGTAGTAGCTGTGGCTACCAGACTGAACAACATATGGGAGGCATGCCATTATAAGTTTGAGGCAGGTCTCCTTGTAGAAGCTGTGGCTACCAGACTGAACAACATATATGAGGCATGCCATTATAAGTTAGAGACAGGGTCTCCTTGTAGTAGCTGGGACGACCAGACTGAACAACATATGGGAAGCATGCCATTATAAGTTTGAGGCAGGGTCTCCTTGTAGTAGCTGTGGCTACCAGACTGAACAACATATGGGAGGCATGCCATTAAGAGCAGTCATGAAAGGACACAACCAGCTTCCTGAAAAGCATAAACCTGATTAAACTTCTAACGTCGTAAACTCTCTATCCACTGATCAGTACCAGCTGACCCCTTTTATCGATCTACGTTAATGTTTTCTTTAATTCAAACATTAACAGCAGTAATTTTTTCTGCAGATTTAATTTGGAGACAAATAGGAGTCCCATTCCAAAATCCATTTTCTCATAACTACCAACCCAATCATTAAGATTCTAATGGAAGATAGTTGTCCAAAAAACTGTGGATAGTGCTGCTTAATGTACACTCTGTAGACAGATCAGATGGTTACGTATCAGATTAAACAAAGAATATAAGCTATATGTACATGTAAAGGAGAGAAATGAACCTATTAGTTATGATTTAATTTGAATATCTAAATGATTTATCACCATTTCTAATTTGAGATGTTAATTCTTTCTCAAATTCAAATTAAGACCACTATTTCCACAGTGATGGGGAAAAAAACATGGTTGATCACACAGGTTAAAAATGTGTATATATATATATACAATATGAATATGTCACCAATGCTAAGACATAAAATAACATCTATTTTCCAAATATTGTATCAATGTTTTTTCTTATGTATAAGAAACAGTTTTACCCAACAATGACAGCTAAAAATAACTAACCTAGAATCGTACACAGTGTAAGTAAGGCTATCAACTACAAAATACATGTATTTCTTCTGTCAATCTATTGTGTTGTAGATGTCATCAATGCATTTTCATCGCCAGGCATCGATCATCAAGATCTACTAAAAATTCTGTCTTAAGAGTCAAATATTGAAGACTTAAATTTCAACATACATCATTTACTGCGTGATTCAGAGAAATTTGTTTTTGGTACAGTTTTCAGTGATTGCAGAAGATCAGAATTTAAAGACAACTTATGATGTTTTACAGATAAGGATCTCTATTGATATATATATATATATATCCTTGTTGCTGTTCATTACATCTGCTGTTACATAGATCTCAGTAAATTTATCATTGTTAGAAACTCAAATATGACAGGACCTGTATTACTTATGAGTAAGCAGTATAAAGGGATATGATAACTTATGGTGATGGGTACCACGGAAATACAAGCTACATTTCAAGTATCCATGACTTCCTGAGGTGTTATATATATATGAAGACTAAAGTGCAATGTATCAATGCAAATTTAAGTAAGAAGAGGGACTTCCATATTTTCCTCCTCTTTTGCTTACATAGTTGTTGACAAGGGAATTTTATTTGTTTTATTTTGTATACATTTCAGTGTTTATGAACTTCAATCTTTGGTTATAAATGACATTTTTCTTTTATAAGATGGCATATTACAAAAAAAAAGGAAAAATTCATTAAATGCTTGAAGTTTGAGTTTTACAAGTTCATTTAATACATGAATGGTTATAATATATATTAAAAATTATCAAAGACTAATTTTGAAAATAAAGTATGATAAAGAATTAAACTATATTACAGAAAATACTGAAACTGTTAGATCAAATTCTTTGAAATCCGAGTATCCAAAGCAGACCATGTTTTGAATAAATACAAAAGTTCCTGTAACTTGTTGTTCCTTACACCTTTTAATCTCTATCCTTGATGTATAGAACTGATATGATTTAACTTTTCTCATTCTAAGTGTATAATATTTTAAACATGAATTATGGACAAGGAAATGTTTTTTATTTTATCCATTTCCCCCTCTTTACGTGGTCCATCGACCTTGTACCAGATCTGGTCTGTTTTGGGTCCTCAGTGCCATATACTTCAGTACATATTTATTATCATTGGGCACAGTACACTGTTCCGGCAACATAGTGGCACATTGTCACCAATGCAATGATATTCATCAGCGAGACATCTAGATATAGGAAGAGTCATGGAGACAGTAAACCTGTAATCAACTAACCAATACTGGTCACCAATATAATGACACTCATACCCATGGCCCTTTCGTTGGGACTTACTTAAAAATATGTACTTGTTATGCCAAGGGTAAAAAGCATAGCTATATGATGACAGAATTTAAGATGTTCCATATACTTGTACAAAAAAAAACTGTTGCAACGAAACCTAGATAGAGGTATGACCCAGTCTTTTTACAGGAGGAAAGACATATACAGTCCACAATGATACATTTAATTCATTACCCTTTAATTAATTATAAATGATATTCAGTAAGTATTTTGTCAATTTGGTTCCTTGCTCATATCTTCTTCAAAAATCTTCTTAAATTGTACTTCACACTAGGGGTTTCTTCTTAAAATTACATACAAAATATTGCACATCCACCTCTTGTGCGAAAAATAGTCTCAGTTGAAACACCTCTGTTTAAAGAGCAGACTGGAAACTTCATAAATGATGTTTCTGTTGAAAAAGTCATCCAGTTTGAAGAAACTTAACGATTGTTTGCTATTCACTATCTGACATCCCTATCCTACACCAGGCGTTCTCTTATTCTCCCTTATCAATTCAAACCAAGTACACAACCCATCATCAGCAGACGTCTGGAGTTGTTTTTCATGCTGGACTGCGTTACGTTCAGTTAGCAAACGTTACGATACAATTGTACGTAATCAACAACAAATGTTACAGTGTGTAAGATATTCGACGATATATAATGTCAATAGGCATTACAGATATGGTTTTATTACTTATTCTTACCTATCCTTTCCACATGCAACAGCTGCGAATCTCTACAGACATGCCAAACGGAACGGAAGTTAAGAAAAAGTCACCTTTAACGGGAGATAACTCTATCGGATGTTGTGACGTAACATATTTCCCTTGCAGGAACTGTCTGAGAACACTGTATATTAACAAGGGCAGCAAGAATTTTGAAAAAAAGGTTTCAATTTTTACAATAGACAAGAGAAAACACGAATAAACAATACTAATTCAAACCAAATTTTGCTTGCATGACGTTATTGAAAAAAGTGTCAACTAACGCCCAAAATTTCGTAACTGATGACAAACTATAACTGATGTAGGGGAAACAACTCTAAGTAAAAATGACAACAACATACGCGAGTACTCCTTATCAAAACATAAATTATAATTGCTTCGGAAATGATAAACATTTATAATGAAACGATTTTCCAAAGTACTTATCTATTTCCACTAGAACTATTTGAGAAAGAAACCATGTCTTAACTAATATATATAATCAATGAAGTAATAGCAACAGTACGGACAAGCGAATTGTCAAATTTTCGAGACAACCTGTCCCTTAAACAAAACACAAATATTACATAAATTACATAACATACATATTACATGAAACATATACAAAGTTATAAATCTAGATCAAGAACGGTGACGTCAATTAAAGTGAAAGCTCGTCATTACCGAACAAGAGTAAATTAATTGGTGGGTAGCTGGTTTCGTTTTTTTGTGTACGTAGTTGGGGGAAAATACAACAATGTATTAGATAATGTTTGTTGATAGCATTTGTTTGCATGCAAGAACACAGAGGACTATCAATAAGATTTATTTTGAATAAATTTTAGGGAGCTACATTTCATTCTTAACCTAACATATTGAATCTTTCCAATTCCGGTGCCATTCAAGTAAAATATTGGAATTTTGTGAGTTGGCGTGCGTAGATAGGCCGTCTGTTTATAAATTAAAAGGTCAGTTTGGCAAGATGTTCCAGATGCTGATAAAAGACGACAAAAAATATTTTATAGACTCATGTGACACACTGGAGGACGGAAATTACTACCCGTGCGAGCATCATGGTGGTGATAATGTCGGTATCGCTGAGGAAGAATACTGAAAAGATATTCGGAGTATCAAGACCATGAATCATTTTGCGGAAAAGAATAAATTCATGTTGTTTACGTCTTACCTGGAGGGGAAGTTAACCTGTTTCTGATACAGGTTGTCTCTGTGTAACCTCGTACCACCAGTTATAATATGTTCTGTTTCTAATTGAAGATGTTATGATAACTGAGACTGGGCTTTAGTAAGGCAGTCCAAAACGATATTGCCGTAGTTAAATACCGGTCGAACTAGTCAAGTACACAGTTTGTAAACTATACTTTTCACATAAGAAACTGAATTTCCTTAAGATATTTATTTTAGGCGAAATCTTAGATATTGAATAACTGAAGTACTCATTCCACCGACCTTTTCCTAGAGAAAAATACATAAATGTTAAACATAAATACATTCTTTATTTATTTACAATAATTGAAAAACAAGTTATTTCAACTTATACTGATCACTCTTTTTGGCCCGGATGTAAGCGTACGAGGGGTCTTGCTGTGGGAGGAAACGGGGAAAACCCACGAAATCGGGCAGGTGACCCCTTACCTTTTCACGTGGGTTCCGGGAATCAAACCCCGGATGGCTGGGTGAAAATCGACCACCCTAAGTGTTCGTGTGAAATAGCTTAAGATATGTTAGCGTTGTTCATATTTAAGGGAGGATGAAAAGTTTTTATATTTTTCTACTAATGAGCAAGGTTTCTCTATAAGAAGGATTGAAATTTACTAATAATCATTACGACTAGTTATGAATTTTATTTAGGTCAATGTTTAGAGTTTCTATATTTACCCTAGGAACATCAACAGTGACATAAAGAGAGATGTCATCAGCAGATAACTTTATGTTTGCATGTGTATCTTTAAAAAAAATGTCATATAAAAATTAATTTTCAAGAATCGAGCCTTGTGGAACACCAGCTTTTTAACCAATTTGATTTTTTATCATTGATAACAACTGTATGCATGCGATTAGAAAGATAATTTTCAAACCAATCTAATAGCGAATTTCGAATTCCAAAGCTGGATAATTTACAAAGAAGACGAAAACGAACGAAAGCTTTCCTTAAATCACAAAAGACCATACGTATTTCCTTACCATTATCTGAAGCTAGATATATATCATGAATGATCGCAACTAGTTTATGCCTTGATCGTTCAAGCAATTGTAGATATAGTTTAAAACACATCTTTCCATTAATTTTCCAACTACCAAAAGCATTTATATTGGTCTGTAGTTTATTAATCTATACTTGTTATCTTTTTTGTACATAGAGGTAACATTAGTGGATTGTCATATAGATGGGTATATTCCGGTACTAATTGACGTGGATTTATAGGGTCAGAACCAATGGCCTTAAAACGACATGTGGTGTGGTAAAAATAGCATCTCTGACATCATCAGCTGTAATGTTAATATTGGATAAGGAATCATTACATTCGTCGACAAAGTTCGTGAGATTTACTTTAGAGTCATCAACGTAGACTGGGCACAAAAAAAATGATTGAATAAGCAAGCTTTCTCGAAGTCATCGGAGACAATGCTACCATTATGAAGCAATGGTGGTGTACAAGACTTCCCAGAGTTGAGCAATAGTTGTTTGACAGTTTCCCACCATTGTTTAACACCGATATTGTTAGGTTTTCAGAGCTCGCTGCATAAACTTGAGAAATATGTTAATTTGGCGTGCTTGATGGTGTTAACACGTGTGTTTGGAAGTCGACGAGACTATTGTTGAAATATGAAAATAACAGTAAATTGGACCATATATAACAATTAGGTCGGGAAAGATTTGTCCAACATGACATTTCTAATAAGGTTATCACTCCTAGTGCAGATTATATCTAACGATGTTTCTATAGAAAAAGTTGAAGATCCAACAAACTGAGGTGGTCTACCCAGATATTTGTGGTGAAGTGGCCGGTTATTACATTGTGAGAAATACCTGTATTATACGATGTTTCTATAGAACGCGAGAAATGGGACCTTTTGGTTACAGTGGAGTTCGGAGGCCAATAAAAAGTACCGTATATTTTATCTGAACCCAGTACAACCTCTAACAAAACGAAACTAGACATCTCCATGTCTGACCTTTTCTTCGCAAAAATATAATCTGTTACCTACATTGATATACTGTCACCAATGCTGTCAGGTCTACAATAGCTGAAGGGGTCAGAATATCCGGACAGGTTCAGGTACAGGGCTCTCGATCTGCCAAGTTTGGGGCCGAATATATTCCCAATCCAAAATAGTATCTTTTTTTCCCCAATTTAGACCCAAAGTTTTCCCAATTCGAAGGAAAACACCATTATTTTTCCCAATTCTAAAATTTAATCATGTCTCAGTAGAGGATAAAATTGTTATATTACTTAACACTGTGTATAGGATATCAAGTTTCTGTTTTAGACTTTGAACATTGAGATGTACAAATGACAAGTTAGTCTTTACATCAAACTGGCCACTAGTATTTGAAGGTATAGATTAAGGAGACGTACTAGAAAAACATGGACCAGGATACAATGCCAATAGTTCAGATTTTCGTTAGCGGACTTAATAGACGTGGAAAAGATAACACCTTATATGTAATACATATCTGGTTTATATTTGAGATTGTTGACGCTAAGATGGACAGAACACATATTATTACAGAGACAATCGATTGAATGATAGAGTGAGGGCGGGTGTTCAACTAGATGTCACCTGCAATGTACCAACTGGTCAATGCATAATGTGATGTAATACAAGTATGTAGTTCCGTTACAGAGGGTGCTAAATGGTAACACGATATTCTCCGGAACCACTTTCTGAACAATGTGATGACTACATGTAAATAAAACGTATAAATATATACATTATATAACAAAAAGAACAATAACGAAACATTTCGCTGATGATGTCCGGAAGGTCAAGTAAAGAGCGAAATTAGTGGACTGTAAAAAGTTGTTGAAGACACCAGTTCGAAGGCGATAGAGAGAAACAGCAATATGTATTATATAATACCAAATAGGAAAGGGAGGTGTGTGTTCGATGAGGCGTCGTAATCAGGATAAGATATGTAGTTAATGGCATACTGGGCAACAGGGACAGGTATTGGGCAGAGGAGGAAAGGTGTCAGGCAGAGGAGGAAAGGTGTCGGACAGACGAGGAAAGGTGTCAGGCAGAGGAGGAAATGTGTCGGGGCAGGAAAGGTGACGAGCAGAAGAGAAAAGGTGTCAGGCAACATGGAAAGGTGTCGGACAGAGGAAGAAAGGTGTCGGGCAGAGGAGGAAAGGTGTCAGGCAGAGGAGGAAATGTGTCGGGGCAGAGGAGAAAATGCGTCGGGCAACAGGGAAAGGTGACGAGCAGAAGAGAAAAGGTGTCAGGCAACATGGAAAGGTGTCGGACAGAGGAAGAAAGGTGTCGGGCAAAGGAGGAAAGGTGTCGGGTAGAGGAGGAAAGGTGTCGGGCAACAGGGAAAGGTGTCGGACAGAGGAAGAAAGGTGTCGGGCAGAGGAGGAAAGGTGTCGGGCAGAGGAGGAAAGGTGTCGGACAGAGGAAGAAAGGTGTCGGGCAGAGGAGGAAAGGTGTCGGACAGAGGAGTAAAAGTGTCGGGCAGAGGAGGAAAGGTGTCGGGCAGAGGAGGAAAGGTGTTGGGCAGAGGAGGAAAGGTGTCGGGTAGAGGAGGAAAGGTGTCGAGCAACAGGGAAAGGTGTCGGACAGAGGAAGAAAGGTGTCGGGTAGAGGAGGAAAGGTGTCGGGCAACAGGGAAAGGTGTCGGACAGAGGAAGAAAGGTGTCGGGCAACAGGGAGAAGTGTCGGGCAGAGGAGGAAAGGTGTCGGGCAGAGGAGGAAAGGTGTCGGGTAGAGGAGGAAAGGTGTCGGGCAGAGGGGGAAAGGTGTCGGACAGAGGAAGAAAGGTGTCGGGCAGAGGAGGAAAGGTGTCGGGCAACAGGGAAAAGTGTCGGGCAGAGGAGGAAAGGTGTCGGGCAACAGGGAAAGATGTCGGGCAGAGGAGGAAAGGTGTCGGGCAGAGGAAGAAAGGTGTCGGGAAACAGGGAAAGGTGTCGGACAGAGGAAGAAAGGTGTCGGGCAGAGGAGGAAAGGTGTCGGGCAGAGGAAGAAAGGTGTCGGGCAGAGGAGAAAATGCGTTGGACAGAGGAGGAAAGGTGTCGGACAGAGGAAGAAAGGTGTCGGGCAGAGGAGAAAAGATGTCGGGCAACAGGGAAAGGTGTCGGGCAGAGGAGAAAAGATGTCGAGCAACAGGGAAAGGTGTCAGGCAGAAGAGGAAAGGTGTCGGGCAGAGGAGGAAAGGTGTCGGGCAGAGGAGGAAAGGTGTTGGTAGAGGAGGAAAGGTCTCGGGCAGAGGAGGAATGGTGACGGGCAGAAGAGGAAAGGTGTCGGGCAGAGGAGGAAAGGTGACGGGCAGAGGAGGAAAGATGTCGGACAGAGGAGGAAATGTGTCGGCAGAGGAGGAAAGGTGTCGGGTAGAGGAGGAAAGGTGTTGGTAGAGGAGGAAAGGTGTCGGGCAGAGGAGGGAAGGTGACGGGCAGAGGAGGAAAGATGTCGGACAGAGCAGAAAAGGTATCGGCAGAGGAGGAAAGGTGTCGGGCAGAGGAGGAAAGGTATCGGCAGAGGAGGAAAGGTGTCGGGCAGAGGAGGAAAGGTGTCAGGCAACATGGAGAGGTGTCGGACAGAGGAGGAAAGGTGTCAGGCAACAGGGAGAGGTGTCGGGTAGAGGAGGAAAGGTGTCAGACAGAGGAGGAAAGGTGTCGGGTAGAGGAGGAAAGGTGTCGGGCAACAGGGAAAGGTGTCGGGCAGAGGAGGAAAGGTGTCGGCAAGAAGTCATGCTGTTCCGAATGGTTATAAAACATTAACTGTATACTTAAGTGGTCAACCGTTCAGAAATATAAAATAATTTTCTTTGGTGAAAACATTTACTGTACACTACAAAATTCTTGAGATATATTAAACAAGATGGTATTGTATATCGCCATTATGTTTACGATGCGTTCAATACTTCGATTGATGCAAACATTATTATGACATCATAACAATGTATTATTCATTGTGACGTCATTACTTGGAAACCATCTCCATGTAGTCGTCATCAAACCATGATCCTAGCAGCGGTGGTATCATCTCTTGCCATACGGAACAGCAAAGCGGGACAGGAAATGGAGGAATGCCGCATACAACGTGAATCAGACAAAACAGACGAACAAGTCCAACTGAGCGCGCATGCGTATGATGTTCTTACAGACCTAAGAACAAATGGACAACTTTGTGATGCTATACTAGAGGTCGAAAACCGGAAGTTCTCAGTTCACCGTGCAGTCATGTCTATCAGTAGTCCATACTTCCGAACGCTTTTTACAAACAAATTAACGACAGCTGACCAAAGGGAATTTGTGATCCCGTCAGTAAGCGCAGAAGCGATGCAGACTATCATTGATTTTGCATACACGAAAAAGGCTAAAATCGACTTGAAAAATGTGAAACAACTACTTCCGGTTGCAGATCGACTACATGTGTACGAACTTGCAAAGCAATGCTGTGACTTCCTGTCTGAAAACCTAGACATAGAGGGATGTATGGATACCTACAGATATGCGAAGAAACACTACTTTTCATATCTAGAGGGAGCATGTTACAACTATATAATGAAAAATTTTCGCAAAATTTCATTGTCAAGTGAAGCTTTTGCAGAACTCAGTATTGACGAAGTTTGTCAGATCCTTTCCTCTGACGATCTAAATGTTAAAAATGAAGAACTGGTTTTTACTGCTCTTATACGTTGGATTGATCACGACCCTGACCGAAGGAAATGTGAGATATACCGATTGTTGAAAACAGTACGGCTCGGATTTCTCACTACAAGATTTTTCGCAGAAAGCGTTCGGTCACATCCGTATGTCGCTGAAAATTTGCCTAGTCAGCCTCTCATCCACGAAGCCTTAAAGTTCCTCTGTTCGCTGGATCTAGACGATTTCAGGGTAAGATGAAATGAATCAAATTTACCTGTTCATAAAAAATCAGATGGTCCCATGTAGTTGGTATGCATCGTGCGTAATTTGGTTTGCACATACAAACATGACGATCGACCGATTAGGATAGAAATGGTGAGTAAAATGTCCCCAATTTCTCAAAATTTGCAGATGATCTGGTCGTGACAATATTCCATTTCGGATTAAGAAAGTCTCTTTTTCAATTCTTGCCACTGGTATTTCACTATATTGATAATATTTCTAGGCAGCTATTTAAATATACGCCCTTTTAATATGAAACGCTGCATTGTCGACGATGTAACATCAATACAGCAGTTTTAGCAGTATAACACACAGTTATACACAAACAAATAATTACCATAATTATGTACCAACAAATATGGACCTATCCATATAAACTCACAAATGTTGTATTTGTTTGGTTGTTGTTGTTTTTATATTTTTTGTTTGTTTATTTTTTGTTGTAAAAAAATTATGTATGCATCGTTATAATTTTAAATACATGCATAACTTAGTTAAAAATATTTATTAAATATAGCAACAAAATAAACAAACATATTTTGCATTTTAGGATAGGAAAACAAGCTACGATTTTATATTAATTCCTTTCCCAAGTACACACAACAGCAAATGGAGCTTCAGGTCTTGGAACACCTTGTACACATCTTACTGTGAATAACAATTAAATTTAACAATTCATTATTCATACGTGTGGTGAATAGGATAGATTGTAGAATATATTCTATAAACAAAGTATATGATGCCGTAATTGATACTTGTGGTCAAGTACAAGTTACAATATGTAATAGTATCGAGTAACATGTATCAACAATTATTACAATAGATTCCACACAAATAGATACTCACCACAAAAAGTATGAGACTATGGTAATCAAAACGCTTACTTAATTTGATATAACTTGGTATAACTGCAGTATTGTAATATATTTTACAAGAAGTTTGATAAATAGCATGATTACCACAAGTCATCGACCCATGACAACTTACAATGTTTTACTTCAACGTTTACGCCGTTTACATGATAACCATTTTGTTATCGGGGAAACGATTCGTGTTACATGTTGGGCAAGTATTAAAAATGTTCATATTAATGTACCTCACACCAGTTAAGGAATAAATTATACCAATGATATACATTTAACTATGATAATCACACTTGTTGGTCGGTGCCGAAGCAGGTAATGACCTGAGTATGATTACATATACAAGTCCGTGTGACCGGGAGATCATTAAAACGTAGAAGCAATTACCGTGCGCCATATTTTGGGCGTGATTTTTGGCAGCTGGAGTATATGACACCAAAATCCCACGAAAAAGATTCTCTGAATGATATGCGGTTTGTAACCCAACTCCTGTTCACGTCCAGGATGTGAACCAAGGGTACCATCTTGTCATACTTGCATTTTTGTGAAATTGTTAATAATCTCGACTTTTCGTGTAACATTTGTCATCTTTTCGTATTTTCGGGTTGTTATGACCAACCCGCTAAACCTGCCGAACTTCGCTTTTTCGCGTTGTTCAAAACGCGAAAAACCACCGAACGTTGCCTTTTTGCATTATGAAATAAACGAGAAACCCGCCGAACGTCGCCAGTTCGCCTTCCGGAATGACTTGTGCATAAGACGACGCTCAGTGGGTTGTCGCATTTATTTTTTAACATGAAAAGGCGGCTTCCTGATGGTATTCGCGTGTTTTTCCACTCAAAAAGACGACGTTCGCGGGTTTCCCGCTTCAAAAAAATGCGAAAAGGCGCCGTTCAACGAGTTTTTGCGTTGACAAAAGTTAGGCGAAAAGGCGTTACTTTCACAAGTTTGAAACCGCGTCATCGTGTTCATTAAGTCACCTTTTAGCTTTTTCGTAGAAAAAAAGAAAAGGCAAAATTCCGCTGTTTGGTTAGTTTTCGTTTTAGAAACATCGCGAAAGAGCGAAAAAGCGAAATTGCACAAATAAACCATAGTTACTATGACCATATCTATGTCTGTAGTCTGCTTATCGGCTTCATACACGGGAAGCTCGATTATAGACACGCGCAGTCGGCAGTTCACTAGAGAAAACAACATGGATCTGTTAGGTACAGTAAGATTTTTGGTACAAATTCCATCATTTTATAAGATTGCGTTTAACATTATTGATCAGGAAACTTGAAATAGAATGATAGAATAGGTAATAGTATCTGCCAACAGAAGCTTTATTGTCTCCTTCGAAAGGTACTTAACCTTGAGAGCCCATTGGCCAAACCAAGGATCCCGCACGAGGTTCTGTTCATGGTTGGCGGATGTCGTAATGGAAGCATGACCAATGACGTAAAATCCTATGACAGTCGGGCCGAAAAGTGGATAGATTGTCGTTTTCTGGACAAAGGTGAGTGACAAGAAAAAAATCGTCGAACACAACATCAGTTGCATTTGGTTTATCTTTTAAGAAAGATGTATCTCGGATTTGAGGAAGGCAGAGACGTTGGAAAATTTAAACCTCGTTACCTTATATAGAAAAAAGCACATAAAGAAGGACACGACACCACGGGCTCAGCAATGAGGTTTGGGCTCACGCTTTTCCCACGAGACTCAATCAGAACCTAGTGTATTTCTTAGTATTGGGAATCCTCAAAATTATTGGTATTCTGGATTCGCATGAAAAAAATCTTCAAAACTTACCGCGGGCTGTTAACAAAACATCAATCAAGCCAGAACTTTTGATGAATCACTTTTTTCTTTCAAATTTTCAGATCTGCATGCTTACCATGCGTTAGTTGCCATGGGAACTAAGATATACGTCATCGGCGGCTATGACGGATTTCACTACATCAATGGCGTGCGGTCTTTTGACGTTGTCAGTAAGAAATGGGCTGTCGTTGCTCCAATGCACGAAAACAGGTACATTTAGTCACGTGATAATACAAAATTTGCATCAATCTCTCCAAGATTGTATTGAGGTATCCCCAATAACACACCTGAAAACGACTCATGGCTGTAAAAGTTGTGGATTTTTTCGCGGAAGATTACCGTGAAAAGACACCGTGTTTACATTTTGTACTTTCACTTTTGAACTACTGACATGTTCTTGAGATACACGATGATATATTGTGATATCAGTGATAACTGATGGTAACTTGCCTACCATATTGACACATATACTCTCAAATTGTACAAATATTTTTTTATGATTAATCTGGTAGAGTTTTAGTGTCTTGATCGAAGGGAGATAACCTCTGTTTAATGACACAAATATCTTGGAGAAATTTGATTTCGGGACTACTGTTCCTAATAACGAGCATTTTATAACACATTGATTGGAAATTAAAATTCATTAAAATTAGAACGCAGCAAAACACAACTGGCTGGCTGTGAACTTTCGACTTATCGATAAGTTCTAAAATTGACGAGGAAATTAAACATGCTAAAATATAAAAATAAAACGAACAAATATATATCATATTGTGCATTAACCAACATTTCATGTGACCTTCTGAGATCTATTAAGGGAGGTAATCTAGTCCATATAAGGTGTTATCAACGTTAGCCCCAGTGAAATCCTTTAAGTGTGTCTTGTCTTCAATGTGGCGTCAATTCGACAAATATTGACTTATCGATTGGTGTCTCTAGCTTGAGCAGGGACATGCATAGAACTCAAAAACGTATACACCATTTGTTTAGATATTACAGGAACACAAATTACTTATAATGCATCAAGTGCACCTAAAACAGCTAAATTTGCATGTCACAGAATTGGCCTCGCTCTAAGGCTGTGATTGGTTCATATTACTATGATTTTCCTGAAAAACAAGGTGTTCCGGAAGGGTAAGCGTCTTCTGCTTTATCAACGACAGCCGCCGCCATTTCAACCTTTGTCTATCCAAGTAAGTTATGTCATGTTCACAATTAACCGGGAAGACTGTGAACAACAACGGAAACTACAAGTATACCAACAAGCATCAAAATTACTATGACATTTTGCGTTGTAGATGTTACGTCACTGCTGTGCAGCTCGGGGAATACATATATGCCATAGGAGGCTTTGATGGCCACGACAGACTAAGATCGGTCGAGAATTACCTCCCTTCCCGGAACCAGTGGACAATGATCCCATCAATGCATCACCGACGCAGTGACGCAAAAGCCACGACACTTAACGGTAAATACACGTACATGTACACTTTATATGTATAAGCCATCTTGGATTTTCCGCTGAAGCGCCGGAAACAACCGAAGGAAATGTTGGCAAATATGTGGGCTGCATGATTACATAGACTCGGAGCGAATAAATATTACCATCGCAAGATTCAAAACATGCAGGAGTTTCGTCCCTTCAATCAGAAACTTCTGGTTATAAGATTGAGAGTAGGCAATCACTAAGTTGCGTCAATGAGGCAGGTTGTTGTGGCGAATGGGTCGTTATCTATAGCGACCGTGGTTCGATTCCTCTTGGAGCGATCGGCACGGGTCTGTGTATACTTTTCTGTTACTAATCAAAACTTTTTAATTTGTTAGGTCAAAGACGGAGACACGAGCTTATTAAGTGTATAACTTTTTTCTTTTATGTTTTGTTTAAAACTTTGACATCTCTCAGGTTCTGTTCTCATCCAATGAAATTACCCCTCGCAAAAGTTAAGACTCAGAAGTTCCGCCCACATACCTAGTACTGTGTGTATATCCCTGGGCAACCATATCGACATCAAGTGGTCGGAAAATTTCGGAGATGTTTAAAACGTTTTTTTGTACATGAATAAGTTTTTCGGAATTAGCTGCTTATGTACTAAATTTCCTGGTGTAACATGGATTTCTCACAGTAAATCAGAATTTGCGATCTCCATTACTGACAGCAATTTGAATTCGTCCACAATAACTTGATTCAAAGTAACTTGTTCAAATTTCTGTTTTAGGGAAAATTTACATTTTCGGAGGTTTTAACGGCGATGTGTGCCTGAACTCTGGGGAATATTACACACCTTTAACTGACCAATGGACGTTGATTGAACCTATGCGCATGCGCAGAACCGGCTTCGGTGTGGCTGCACTGGACGGTTATATATACTGTATGGGAGGATTCGGTGGGATCACTCGCCTTTGTTGTGGTGAACGCTACAATCCGGCTACTGACACGTGGCATGCGATCCCAGATATGTTCTATATTCGCAGTCACTTTGGGTTCGAGGTTAGTGAATTTTGGATTTGAGATTAAGCTATGGTTTAATAACGAGTCAGGTAGGTTGCCTTTATCACACCTTTTTATTTTGTATTTTATGAAATGTGTTTGATAGCAGTATTTCATTACTAAATGATCAATATTTTGCCTGAAGTTTGCAGTTTTTTTCGGGGCATATAATACAATGTTACACAAAACACATGTTAGATGAATGAACTTTATTTACTTAACAACAACTGAGAACTTTTCAAACTTCTATTAATCACTATTCTTGGCCCGAATATAAGCGCACGATCTTACTGTGGGATGAAATCAGAGTACCCAGAGAATACCCATGTAATCGGACAGGTAACTCTTTACTATTCCGGGAATTCGAATCGTCTTGGTGAAAGGCGAGTGCGTTATCACTGCGCCACCCGACCGACCGAAATACAAGTATCACAAGCAAGTAAATGCTTTATAATGTAGTTTGTATTATAAAGACGCTTTGATAACATTCCTGTATTTACTACGCACACCCTTATATCTGAACCCTGACCTGTATATAATTAACAACACGCTAACATTTACAGTCTGTATTGCCTTAACACAGAACTATTATAATATGGGGACACAACCCCGAACCCTGGTACCTTTAACTTACATCGATATTTTGACATAATCCTTGCACTGGTACCAAGACCTGACCACGATATCTGTATATAGACAATACTCCCTGACCTTACCACTATATTTTGACACTGTCCCGACTCTGGTACCTTGACGTCACTATAGTGATTTGACACTATCCCGACCCTGATACCTCGACCTCACCACATTTTTACACTACCTTGACCCAGGTACTTTGACCTCACCACGATATTATGTCAGAGCTCCAACCCGGCTACCTACGTGATCTTGCCACGGTATCATATCACAGCCCTTACCTGGGTACCTCACGTCACAACGACTTTATGTCACAGCCCCGGCCCGGGTCATGACCTCACCACCGATATTATGTCACAGCCACTACCCGGTTCGTGAGCTCACCATGATTTTATGTCACAGCCCCGGCCCGGGTCATGACCTCACCACGATATCATGTCACAGCCACTACCCGGTTCGTGAACTCACCACGATTTTATGTCACAGCCCTGGCCCGGGTCATGACCTCACCACGATATTTTAACACAATCCCGATTTTTGTCCTCCAGGTGGTAGATGACATGCTGTTTGCCTTTGGAGGATTCGACGGAATCAGTTCTATCGCCGGCGTCGAGTATTTTGATGTCAAGACACAAGAATGGTGAGCGCAGACTACACTTGCTTATTGATGATGTGTCATGATTTCACAATTTAATTGCTAGTGTTACACTTTTTATTCCACCGCGATTTTGGCTAATTCGAGAATCCGGATTCAAATGAATGTATGTATCGTTTTTCAGTTGGGCACACTAAATAAGGAATACTACCGACCCCTCGCCCTACACCAACCACCTTCACTGCTAGATAGAGCGTGCTATCGTGTAATTCTCTCCCTCTCTCTCGCGAAAAGCTTTTGCGGGGAATATTAATTTGGGTTCCGTGTGTTCGTCCGTCCAAGGGGGCTTCTCCGGGCTACAACATGCAAACCGTTCAACGGTTGTAAAGGAACATATGTACAGGATAGGACCTACTCCTTAGTTGTACCTTTTGATATTGGCGGTATTTTTGTTTTGACATTTTCTCAGTCACCATGGAAACAAAGTCAGCAACAAAAATGCTTTAAAAGCCTTTTCCAGACTGTAACTTGGAAACTGTTTAGTACACCTGACAAAACGAATTTATATCGAAATAAACTAGGAGTCATATCGACAGTCAGACAATGATAATGTCACGCTCTGCTTTTCCTTTTTTCCCCCTGACGTTGTCTGCCCCGAGGACATTTTAGGAAATGCCTGTTACCCCTTTATCGATCCGTTCGCAGATCCTGACTGTCACATACATTACTATTTACATATGCTCATTTCTTCTTGCAGGTATGACGCAGGAGACTTACCACGCAGTCTTGAGGCATTCGGAACATGCGTTATGAAAGACATTCCGAACGTCAAAGATTACATTTATCAACCAAAGCAAAAAGAAAAATCTGACATAAAAAAATCTATTTGAAAATGAATGTATATTATGTATTTGAAGCGTACAATGTAAACTGTGCCAAATAAACACCACACCATTTATCTTCCATTTCACTACAGAGTCCGTCTTGCTTTATCCGTCCTTTCACTGCAGGACCTCTCATCTTTTAACCGTCATTTCTCAACATGACCTCTCTTCCTTTACTCGTCGCGCACGTTCCTCCCTTGCGCTTTTTTCCCATTTACACACGCTACTCCTCTGTCTATTATTTCACTACACACGTGCTTCTCCTCCGTCTATTATTTCACTACACACGGTAATCCTTTGCCTATTACTTCACTAAACACGTGCTCATCCTCTGTCTATTGTTTAATTACACACGTGTTCCTTTGTCTATTATTTCACTACACACGGTAATCCTCTGCCTATTATTTCACTACACACGTGCTCATCCTCTGTCTATTATTTCACTACACACGTGCTCATCCTCTGTCTATTGTTTCACTTAACACGTGTTCCTCCTCTGCCTATTATTTCACAAAACACGTGCTCATCCTCTGTCTATTGTTTCATTACATACGTGTTCCTTTGCCTATTGTTTCACTACACACGGTAATCCTCTGCCTATTATTTCACTACACACGTGCTTCTCCTCTGTCTATTATTTCACTACACACGTGTTCCTCCTCTGTCTATTATTTCACTACACACGTGCTCATCCTCTGTCTATTGTTTCACTTCACACGTGCTCATCCTCTGTCTATTGTTTCACTTCACACGTGTTCCTCCTCTGCCTATTATTTCACAAAACACGTGCTCATTCTCTGTCTATTGTTTCATTACACACGTATTCCTTTGCCTATTATTTCACTACACATGGTAATCCTCTGCCTATTATTTCACCACACACGTGTTCCTCCTCTGTCTATTATTTCACTACACACGTGCTCATCCTCTGTCTATTATTTCACTACACACGTGCTCATCCTCTGTCTATTGTTTCACTTCACACGTGTTCCTCCTCTGTCTATTATTTCACTACACACGTGCTCATCCTCTGTCTATTGTTTCACTTCACACGTGCTCATCCTCTGTCTATTGTTTCACTTCACACGTGTTCCTCCTCTGCCTATTATTTCACAAAACACGTGCTCATCCTCTGTCTATTGTTTCATTACACACGTGTTCCTTTGTCTATTATTTCACTACACACGGTAATCCTCTGCCTATTATTTCACTACACACGTACTCCGCCTCCGCTATGGTTTCACTCCACATCTCCCTATCTTCTTTTTTCATTATTTTAAATTCACTCTCCGTCCCTGCAATATTACTTAACGCCTTTCCCTCCTTTGATTTAAACATATTTTATGATCAGTTGCAGATAAATGGATCAGAGACAGGTTCTAGCAACTTATGAACTCTTCTCTTTAAATCATATTACAAATAATTAATATACTGCACGTGACACATATTTTTACTATAAACAAGAAAATATGTAATTCGTAGACGTACAATGTACAATTGTAAGTTTAAATAATTTTATCAGAAGGAGGAAAAGATGATAAGATAGAAAGAATATTGTATAAGAGAAAAAGAGATTTTTATATTTTATATTAATTCAGTGCCGACTACAAACAGTTCATAATCAGGTAATATTGAAACGCTTTATTGTTTTATAAACTTCTGAACAAATCTAACGATATTACAATTAGTTTCATATGAACAAGCATCACTGTCGCCCCATAAGACAGATAACAAAACAAACAAAAAAATATTTAAAAAAATAAGAAGAAGATCCCAAATTGCTAATTTCAAATATCTCAACAAGTGGCGTGAAGTGTTTCTCCAGTAGCTAAGGACATATTAATACCTTCTGTGCTGCAGAGGTACATGTAATATCAAACGAGATACATCAGGGCGACCTAGTCACCAAATGACCTTGGCTGAACGTCCAGACACAAAACATTCTTCTGTACATACTGAGTTCTCATCACCCACAGATGCTTACTTACCAAATTTGACCAAATTAGAAGAATTTTGCTAATTCACTCTTTTGGGTCCCGCCCCTCAGTCATAGGGAGCCGAGACCCCAAATTTTATACAGATTCTGATAAGATTTTGTTCAAACCCAATCATAACTTTGGGGTGTTTTATTTAAACCCTCCGGAAAGCGATGGTCAAAGGAAGTTATAACTCCTTCTAATTCAGTCCATAAAATGTTGATTTTAGAGGAAGCCCACATCGCCTTCATCATAAAAGATAAATAATTTGTAATGCTTTTTATTTCCATTTCCAAACCTGTGGTCCTTCGGATTACTAAGGCCTACAAGGGAAGTGCTGGTGAATGATGACTATCTGGGTGTCGCTTGTACGACCCTTTGTAAACTTTTGAAACAGTTACTGGATTCCTGTTTTCATTAGATCATTCGCATATCATTCGGCTTCGTCTCGGAGAAACTGACCTGATCACGATAAATCAGTGTTTATTTTTCCTCCCATACTTTTCAGTTTACAACAAATTTCCGTTTACTGCGAATGGAACATATGAAGAGCTACACAGTTAATGTAGAGAAGGGAAGTAACTCTCATCAATCCAATAGGAAACGAAAGGAATGTCAACAGTGGCCAGGTTGTAGATTTGTTCAGTCAGAGTCATTTCTAGGCGGAGACTCTTTGAAGTAGCTGGTGACTTCTTCATAGAACAACATACGGAAGGCCCGTTGTAAGTCATCCAGAGCAATAAGGGTAAATGTTATTTTCCAAGGATACATACACGAAAGCTCTGACTGATCCTTATACACACCACCACGGTTTGTGAACATCAGATGGTGCACGATGTTCACGGGACAATAATTAATTATGCAAGTTATTTGTGTATATATTTTACGCCGGTTTTATTTCACGAGTATAACATAAAATCTATATATTGTTACGACTGTGAAATATTCCATACACATGTATAGATCTATTATATCGTTATTTAAATTTGTTAATGCGTTTTCTAATCAGCTGTAAATAAATCAAAGTTGAGGGTTGAAAACACCAATTTGTTAGAAATAATTAAATGAATGTATTTATTACTTTACAAATGATACAAAATAATTTCACAGCAAACGAAATTTGAAGGGAAAAATCTATAAAAATCTGACAACGCGATACGGTTAAACCCTACCCATAAAAGGTCTCTTTGAATTATAAATACGGTAGATTTATCTTTGTATGTATCGGTGTCTATTGAGAATATTGTAAGCGCACACGCCCAGCCGCTGAAGCTTTTCAGTACGTGTACGACCGTAAGATCTCACTGTATCGCTGTAAAGTATTAATAAGTATCGGATATGCTGACAAATGTCAAAGTGTGTGATCGCTCATTATCAAATTAACATTCCTGTACCAGATATTAGTACGTTATCGTGTCGAGTGTTGGTATCATCCTTTTACAAAGAGATTTATCGAGGCTTTATCAGCCAGGATGGGTCCGAGGTGTAGGTAAGTATCTTGTGTCATTGCATGGTATTTTTAAAAAAGTATAATGGTTCTTTCTACCGAAAACGAGGCAATACTCGAAGTACTCTGTCAAACCAGCCATATATTAACATTATTATGTTATGTTCTGTTCCGTTGCACACTGTCTCTTGAGTTCTTTGTTTTATGCGGTTCGCTGCTTGTGTATCATTTGTAATACCACAACATAGATAACTATCCGGTGCTTCATGTATATTGAATTATTGTTTTTCTATAAAACTCGGACTTGACACGCGCTCACGTGAAACAAGTGAATGTTAAATAGACGCGCAGCAATTTTTTTAATTACTGTACGTACAAAACAGTCTTAACCGCTATCTATGTGAGTTTGCTTTCTGCCTTAATTGCCTAGCCAACAGCAAAAGTCGTTTTTAAACTGAGTCTACATCACTGAACAACATGCGGGAGGCCCGACGAATATTTTTGCAGGGCATCAACGAGGAGCTGGTGACAACCATATTACTACATACTAATTATCAAGCAAATGCAAAAGAACTACTTTGTAATTTCACATGAACAAAGTACACATTTATAAATTCATAAAAATACTTCTATAGTTATCAAATTTCTCTTTGTTGTCTTGTTTATTGAATTTGAGTTTGCATTACGATTATGTTAACAGGTTGGTATTTTCTTGTTTAATGCCATCAAAACACGCGAACGGTTCTGTATTTCTATTATTCTTTTTTTTTCAAACGTCTCGCTTAGCAAAACTTCGTTTTTGACATCAGTTCTGTTTTGTCCAGACAAGAAAATGTGTAGGTTTTTCCCCCTATTCGTAACTCTACTGCTCCCTTCATGGCGACCATCTTTAAATGAGAGGTGGAGCATGACTAGGTAGGGAGGTCATGCCATCATGTCTCGGTGATGGTATTTCAGTATGACAGCACTATAAACGTTTCTCTTCGTCAGCCCATTGTCTTCAAATGACAATGGTTGTAACAAGGACATAAGCATAATAACAGAAAGCCATTGGTCATTCTGATTATTTCTCCTCGTTTCACTCTCCACTTTATCAGACGTTAAAGGTGGCTTGTGTCTGATTGATGTATATGTGACACAATACGATACAGCTGTTGCCACGGACTTGATTAGTTTTCCCGACACGAGTCTGATTTCATGAATAATACAGTTTTATTTTGAAATATATTCTATTGATAAATACATAAATAGCTCTATGAAGCTGCAACATGTTGCTTGCGACAAAAATTCCTGTTGGTAATTGTGTTTAAATCTGCGGACAGGAGAGACTAACAATGCGAACTCAGCAATACTTTTTAACGGCATATTGGATGCATTAGTGGTCCGTTTGTCCTCCTGTGTCGAGTTTGGTCCTAAAGAGCCATTGATTTGAACAAAAACACACCGAAACCAAAACCAGCGATAAAAGTGAATTATTGATATATTGTCTCAATTTGTTTTTTAAAAAAAAGTTATACTAGGACAAAACCTGGCCCTGATAACACCTTTAATTTGGTCTGTTTAAATGAATTAGATCGACGCAAAAAAGCAGTGGGGAGATCATTAGGTATAAAGGGTATTTAATGTGGGATTATTTTAGTGTACACATCAGTGATCGTGAGATAAGTTATATCGACTTGGATAAATCTTTTTGAAGACCTGGACAGAAGGTGGAGTACCTGGAGAAACCCCGAAAGATTAGACAGGAGATACCATGTCATTCCACGGTCGGTATGGGTATCGGATATAAGTACTACTGCTAAACAAAAAGCCTTAAAGTATTGAATAACGTACCTCAAGTCAAAATTCCACAGCAATGTTTTTATCAATAAGTAGCGCTTATTATTATTTTTTTTCCTTGAACAGGAAAACTTGCATCGCCAATGATCGCTGGAGAGATATTTGTATTACCATGTACCACGTGACTTGGTATGAACGTGTTGTCTGGAGAAGTCATTTGGCTGCAGTGTGCCACTATATTTTATACTGTGTGACTTGGTATGAACGTGTTGTCTGGAGAAGTCATTTGGCTGCTGTGTGCCACTATATTTTTTACTGTGTGACTTGGTATGAACGTGTTGTCTGGAGAAGTCATTTGGCTGCTGTGTGCCACTATATTTTTTACTTTGTGACTTGTTGTTATGAACGTGTTGTCTGGAGAAGTCGTTTGTCTGTTGTGTGACAGTGTATGTTTTACTGTATGTTTGTTGTCCGGAGACGTTCCTTTATTACTGTGTGTATTACCGTGTAACATGTATATAAATGTTGTCCGGAGGAGTCACATGATGTGTACATTACCGTGTGACTCTGTATATAAATGTTGTCCGGAGGAGTCACATGATGTGTACATTACCGTGTGACTCTGTATATAAGTGTTGTCCGGAGGAGTCACATACTGTGTACATTACCGTGTGACTCGGTATATAAGTGTTGTCCGGAGGAGTCACATACTGTATACATTACCGTGTGACTCTGTTTATATGTGTTGTCCGGAGGAGTCACATACTGTGTACATTACCGTGTGACTCTGTATATAAGTGTTGTCCGGAGGAGTCACATACTGTATACATTACCGTGTGACTCTGTTTATAAGTGTTGACCGGAGGAGTCACATTCTGTAAACATTACCGTGTGACTGTATATAAGTGTTGTCCGGAGGAGTCACCTTCTGTGTACATTACTGTGTGACTGTGTATATAAGTGTTGTGCGGAGGAGTCACCTTCTGTGTACATTACCGTGTGACTCTGTATATAAGTGTTGTCCGGAGGAGTCACATGATGTGTACATTAACGTGCGACTCTGTATATAAGTGTTGTCCGGAGGAGTCACATACTGTATACATTACCGTGTGACTCTGTATATAAGTGTTGTCCGGAGGAGTCACATGATGTGTACATTAACGTGCGACTCTGTATATAAGTGTTGTCCGGAGGAGTCACATTCTGTGTACATTACCGTGTGACTCTGTATATAAGTGTTGTCCGGAGGAGTCACATGATGTGTACATTACCGTGTGACTCGGTATATAAGTGTTGTAAGTCACTTGTCTCCTGTTTGACGATATATCGTGCAAGTATCAACAGGTATTGTTTCGGAATATTGTATAACAAAGACAGCATGTTTATACCTAACATTGCGAATGTCGTCATGCTTAGGTGCACATAAACCCCAGGGACTATACTGACGATGTGGCATTCCTTGTTGTCTCATGAATAAAAGAGATTCCACCACTGTTCATAAAGAAATTTGATATTTTACCTGTTTTGTGTTTGTCGACATGCCCTTCCAATAATTCATTTGCATACCAATGACATAAATTGGTATCAGCTGTTGTTGTTGAGAGAAAGACTGTTGTACAGTTGTTTATATGGGGATATAATGAGTACTGAAAACATGACTCATTTCTATAAGTCTGGAAAGCTTAGTTGATTTTACGAGAATCCGCTGTCGTATTTAAATATTATGAAGTTCAAACTGAAATGAAACATATATCACATTAAAATATCGGGATACAAATTCTCAATTTTAAATTCTGATAGAAAATCGTAATTTCGAAAAATTACATACAAAATATGTTGTTTGGATAATGAAGTCTGCCGGGACTTAATAAATTATTGATAAGTGAAACGAGAATCATAAAACTGTACATTCACATTCCACTCATATAAAAGCGAACTCATCATCTCTGCTGTAACAATCTACCCTGGAAATTCGCAGAATTAAAAGCGTCGACATTTATGTATGATGGCCGGGGAGACCAGGTAAATATATCTTGTAGTTAATTAGTAGTAACTATATCCGGTGTAAATAATACATGAATTTTCTACCACATTTTCTTGCAATGAATCACAAAATCTGCCTTCTGGTTTTAATTAATTCTATTTTGTTATAATTGTTTTAATTCGAAACTTTTCCTTTTCTTTCGAAAACTACAATTGTGATTGTTCATATACTGGTACACGAAATACATCGAAAATATTTCCCTTGCGTGTGGTTACAATTTTCTGAAAAACTACCACATATGCCGCCTCAATGACGGTTAACTTTAAATACATACTTAATAATCAAACAACTGGTTAATGCTGACGTTTGATCTGTGATGTATGACGTAATATTTAATATAATTCTTCGTGAAATTCTATCATAACAAGATGAACAGTGTATCAGTCGTATGATTTCCGTGAAAGGGTTCTATGATTGATAATAATTTAGATATATTTCAAGATTCCTATAGATCTAGCGATTAAATAATATCTAATAACAAATTGGACGAGACATATGTATGTATGGTGCTTAGGGATGGATTTATCTTTGTTAGGTTAAAACCAATCCGTAGAGGTGGAGCGTCTCCTTAGGCTAACCAGGTAACGTGAGTGTGTCTGGTTTTACAAGCCCGTGCATTGTATAAGTAATTTGAAGGTGGACATCAGGACCCTTTCTATGAACCCACCGACTAATGTCTTGACCTCCAGTTCGTGTGGCAGCACAATTTGTTTTATTCCACAACACGATTATACTTTGTAACTTTTGGAATGTTTTCTGGTATAAAAAAAATCGAAAACGAAGTCCGATCTTCGGTATATTTATCTCTTCGTTTCAAGAAGTGATAATGCATTGGAACATTGGAAGCTATGTACATATCTCTGAGTAATTACACTAACGAGACTCCACCTGCACCTTCAGCCTCAGTGGGGTGGTGGTGGGGTTCTGGGTGGGGGAGGTCACTTCATTTGGTTCCATTAATGTTCCAGCGGGTACGCTTTTATCTAAAGTAGCGGTAAACGCATATTCAAGATAGTGTTTGCTTCTAACCGTATTGAAAAAATATTGTACAGTATAACCTCGTTATCTCGAACCATGTAGAACCTTCGGTTCGAGATAACCGAGTATTTGATTTAAACAAATTCGAATATTCTGTGTGAAGTTAATAAAATTGACAGGAAACGATGAAATGCTTCGAATTAAACGGATCTTCGAGTTAAATGATTTTGAGAAAACAATG